TTCCTCTTTCTTCATTTCACTTCTGCTTACCTAGTTATCTCCTATGCCTGTATCTGGAAAGTGTTCATTAAATATTATAGTAGTAATTTAACTTGATGGAACTATCTCAAAAAAACTTGCCAGGACAGTTTTACAGTAAGAGTACTACCGTGAGGTGGGAATATGTATGTCCCTGTAGATCTGCCATTGGTGTTTGTATGGGATGAAGATATGCTAAAGGCATTGTTGCTATAGCCACCTCCTTCATCCTTAGCTTTCAAATAACCCCATAAGACAAAACCTAATTTGTCATTCACTGATCGTTTAAATGTAGCCAAAATACAAAGTGTATGTTAGGTACACTTATTCAGTTATTAGACAAGTGTTTATTGAGCTTGTACTGTATATATGGCAGGCACTGTTCAAAACACTTGAGAAACATCAGTAAACAAAACAGAAATCCCACCCCCCCCTTGGAGTTTGCATTCTAGTCAGAGAAAATAAACATAATAAGTAATTTATATAGTATGAGAGAAAGTAATATGTGCTATAGAAGAGGGATCAGCAGTACTTGAAGGAAGTTTATATGAACATCATTGGAGCTGAGCATATTATCATAGTGGTATCTAGTAAGCATTAAACAGAGCAATGAGAAGGGTGAAGCTAGAGCCAGACATATATCTAAATCTAGGTAGGACTAGTCTGGAATTCAGTTCTATATTGAGCATTATGTGCAAGGTACTTTGACTTACTCTGAAGGGACAGGGTTATCAAAGATAAATCAGACATTGCTTTCTTGCCTTCCAGAACCTACTATAACAAGGGAAGACAGCCATGTAGGCAAGTAGCTGAATAACACAGGTTCTAATTAGCAATATATGTATGCGGTTGCTAAAGGGGAGAAGCAATTAATTTTGACTGGACGATCAGTTAGAGAAGCAGAGAAAATGCAGCCTGAGCAAATTTGACAGTAAATGTTTGACAGACTACGACAGACTTCTCAGAAAGTGGCTTGCAAATGGAAAAGACTCAAGTGATCATGAAGGAGAGTACACCTATACAACTAATACAACAAAGGGCCACAGCTAACAGAATTTCAGGTCTCCTGGTTCATCTTTCCAATATTTGTCTCATAGCCCTTTAAATAATGGGCAAGAATTTTGAAAATGATGAAGCAGTGAGAAACAAAATAAGACTAAGGAGAATAATGATTTAATAAGGGATAAAGGCAGTGAAAAAATATTTTGGATTATTTGATAGAGGAAGTTGTGATAGATTCAGAGATCAACAAAAAGAAGATACTGATTGCTAAAAGAAGAAAAGAACAAATGTTTTAATAGACTTGAGTAACACTAAACATAATTTATTTGCAACCTGGATTAAAACAATAGTTCCCCATCAGCTGATTTGAGATCTGTCTGTGCCCTGAATCAGGGCTTCAGAGCTCTGGCACTTGATACTGAAGATCACTGCTTTTCTTTAGTTCACTGTTTGCCTACGAGTATTTGAATTTGTAGAGGAATGAACCGTTCATTCAGCTCAATAATTAGAGTATTTGTCTTTTTCTCCTAATGTCATCTGACTGAAATTGAGACGTGTGCTCATTCCAAAATATCTTTATTACATTTCTTGGTTTTGTGAGAGAAAGCAATAGGACAATTGATGTCCATTTTCCTAGGAATTAAGATAGTAAAGGTTCGTTTGGCAAAGCTTGTTAAGTTCACACTCAACATTTATATTTCACAAATGCTGTCAGCAGCTCTTTGAATAGGAAGCTGACCCTATGAGAGTAAGGCTGGGGCTAAAAGTACTTGCCAGGAGGTCTTTTCAGTAAGGAGAAATTAAAACGAATTATCTGTTATTCAAATCTGTACTCAAAGTATAGATCTCCCTGAGTTTAATCTTTAAAAGATTCATAGATGAATATAATATAGAAAAAATGTGGAAAAAAGGGCTCTTTTTTCCTTAACACAGCTTTTTGCTCCACTCCATGTTGTTGCTATATCATTCTACCTACTGTTAATGAAATATACGTTCTCTTTTTATTAAAACGTATCAAACCATTTTAGTGCATTGGCATATAGAACGATTTTAGTAAGAGAACCTTGCTTTAAAATTATATAATGTGCCATTCATATTGCCATAGTGGCAACCCAAAACTAACCCACTCATCCAGCTGTTAAAGGTTTCATTTGAGTTTTATTTTAATGTGAGTAAAAGGTTCTCATTGTCATTGATACTCTTTTCATATTACTCTTCAGTTTATCAGCTTTAGGAAGTACCTTATATGTATTTTTCTCATAAAAAAATAACAAATTGGGGGGCTTTTGTTTGTTCTTTTGTTTCTTACTCTGGAAAGTATTTGCAGTGTGGAGTTTTAGTAAGCACCTTCACTTTGCATTACAAGGTCTTTATTTGTCCACATTTGGTTACTGCTGTATGAAGCCATAAAAAACAGGGAGTTGAGGGAAAGTGACAAAGATGAAGAAGGGATGAAAAATAAGCTTTTTAAGGAAGAATTAAATCTATTTAGCTTGAAAAGGGGAGAAGGGGCACAGTGCAAATAGCACTCACTGGACTGATGGACCAGATGACTGGTTTTGAGGCCTGGCTCTACCAAAAATGAGTGATTCACTGTAGACAAGTCACTCTAGAGTACTAATCTGTAAAATGAGGGGATTTGATTAGTTTGGGGTCAACAAACTTTTTATTAAAAGGCCAGCTAGTATTTTAGGCTTTGCAGGCCAATATGGCCTTTTTCAAAACTACTCAACTCTGTTGTAAAAGAATGCTTAACGAACAGGCAAAGCTGTGTTCCAGTAAACTTTATTTACAAAAATGGGCGGCAGGCCACATTTCATCTGCAGGCCTTAGTGTGCTGACCTCTGTCTGGAAGATTCCTTTCACATCTTCATTCTGTGGTATTGCTTTATTATCAACATCACATATATGAAAGGATTACTGCTCTGTTATTTTCAATAGTGTATCAGTCAGGGGCTGGCCAGGAGACAGAAACCACAGTTATTTTACCAGAAAATCTGAAATGTAAAGAATGGTTGACTATGTATAAATGAACTGAAGAGGGAAAAAGAAAACACTGAGTTATCATGGACTTGGCAACTGCAGGAAGCAGCTACCACCTCAGAGCCTGTGTCACAAGAAGAGTTTGGGGTTATTAAACCAGAGGAACTTGGAGGAAAGGCCCTACAAAGCTGAAACTGATCTCTGTGTAAGGCGCCCTGCTCAGCTGATGCTAATATTTCTCCCCTTCAAGGAGGGCTCTGTGGGGATGGGAATTCTGAGGGCTCCTTTTTTTTTTTCTTTCTTACCTTTTTTTTTTTTGATAGCTACACAAATATAGACAAAGAACCAAACAAAGGAAAACAGACTTTTATTAAAGCAGGAGGGACTAATAAACATAAGAAAGAACTAATTCACAGAACCACATAGTTATCTTTTCTGGATAGTTTTAGTTTCCGAATGCAGAGATCAAGATTATCTCTTATTCCTCTGTAACTCTCCCAGTGGGAATGGTGTAAGAGTCATTGCCTCCAGTGTTTTTAAATAAAAGATTAAAAAGTAATCTATTCTGGATAGTTTTAATTTCAGAATGCGGAGATCAAGATTATCTCTTATTCCTCTGAGACTTTCTCCTACTGATGTGTAATGTGGCATTTGACTTCCTTTTCTTGGTTTACTTCCCTAGACGAGCTTTCAGAGACTTTTGTTTCCTCATAGAAACTATATAAATTTGGGTAAGTTCCTCTTGTCTAGGTTTCCAGTAGACCCAAGTAACTGAGGTAATTGCAGTAGTTAAAGGTTGGAGTATGTATCTCTTGCACATGTTCTCTCTTATTCTTTTCTGTCTATCTCTACCTCATCTCCCCCCTCACCTTTTTCAGCTCAGAGAGCACTTTGTGACTTTCTTTGTGCCACTTAGTCATAATCCACCTTAGATTGTTGCTTGTGTCTTGTATCAACTGAGGATATGGACATTATCTTCATTAGAGCTCTGCATGCAGCCAAGAGTGATCTCATTTTGGTTCCTCTCAGCCACTCAAACAGTCACCAGAGGTAAGCTGGCAGCTAAGCCAGGGAGGGCATCAAGAACAGGGCCTGGCACACAGTAAGCTCTTGGTAAATAATTGCCACTGAAGAACTGAATAACCCCCGGCACAGTATCGTACATAATTAGCAACAAACTGAACCAGCAATTTAATTAATAATTTATAAGCTCTAAATGATTGTATTCTGACAGAAGTTTGGGCCTGTTGTTGCTGTTGTTAAAAACTGTTTTGTTCTTCGGTGCTTCCTGATTCTTAATTTCTTCACTTTCTGGTTCATTGTGAATTTTCCCAACAGCTCTCAATATATAGCAGTGCCAGTTCCCATGCCATTTTCCCTCTCCCTGTTGTGGCTGGGTTAAAGGGTTTATACATGCAATGGGGGGTCATTATTACCTGACTATGTTCAGAGAGCCACTGAGTGTTTTATGGAATTCATGGACATTGGCAGTTCCCTAAAGATTCTTCAGCAATTCTCTGTTGTCCTGATACCCATCTTTCCAATAGATATATACACTTGAAAATTGTTTTCAGATTTCATTGTTTAGCATAAAGGGAAAATGTTGAAAACAGAGCTTCATGTTTTTCTTACAGCTCAGTATAATTTGGAACATGTTTCTCCACTGATGGTGTTTATGCCTTGTTCTACAAATGGTATTTGTGACCCCACAGAAGCAAAATATTAATAATTTTTGTTGTCAGGTACTAATGTGTTTGCCAGCTTGTTGCTAGTACTCTTCATAAGTTCAGGCAGTTGATAGTGGTGAAGGAGCTGAAGACAACTCTTGACATTTTCCCCTGGCACATGTTTGGAACACTGACAAGGACTGTGAGTTCAGCAAACTCTTGGTGGATGTATATGCTGGAGTGAGCTATGATACCCAAGTTGGGATGATACAGACGAACTGAAAGTTTTCTAAACTTGCATATTCTGACTAAACTTTTCTGTCTTGTCAGCCACCAGCTCTGCCCACTTGGAGGACCTTGCTTACCTGGATGAGCAGAGACATACACCTTTGAGAACTTCTCTTCGAATGCCGAGACAAAGCATGGCTGGTGCTCGCACACAACAGGATTTAAGAGGTTAGAACTCCAGAAGGGCTTTGCCTGATGATTCCCAGGCAAAAGTGTACATGGGCAGTAGGCAAAAAGTTTGTTTCCGATTTCCACTCTTACTGAAGCCTCACGTAAAAAATGAGCATGTCACCATAGAAGAGAAAGATAAACACAAATACATTATATTCATCATAGACATTGTAATTTTGAACAGTTGGAAGCATTGATCCTTGAAATTCTCAAAAGAAACAAGGGTAAAGATGGTGATGGAGGAAACAACCTTTTTAAGGTCCTAGATTTCAGAAGTGAGTGTTGATTCACTTCAGCCCTAGTGTGAGCTTGGTGCTAATAGTCACATATTTCATAGAGAATTTATTTCATCTTCATCCTAGTGGCCATTTCTGATGACATACAGTCCTTTTACTTATTGGAGTTTCAGACAGTGCTTCTAGTCCTCTCCTGGAAACATTTAAACAACTTATCCCTTTCCCACTCAGGCAACAGTTTCTTTACACTTTTTATGCGTACTACTTGTTTCTACAGTCAGGAACCTAATCTTTTCAAAGACTTTTCATTTTGTTGATCCTTTCAAAAGACAGTCTAGTTGAGAGACCTGTTAGTGGTATCGCTGCTTTGTGCCTCTGGTTTGTTCAAAATGAACCAAACCATCTCTGATAGCCTTAATAGATAGGTGGTCACCTTTCTCTAGTACCTCATAATCCATACTTCTAATATCCCAAGTGCCTTTTTAAATTTTATCTCCTAGATTATTTTCATCTTTCCTTTGCTCTCCTCCTCACCCCTGTCCAATGCTAATCTGTACAGTACCACATGCGTAACTCACACAGGAAGGGTTACATTCATGCCTGCTGTCCATTCTGGAAGTCATTGTGCTGATAGTTTTTCAATGATGACTGGGCAACTAGGAGCATAAAATAATCGGTTGTATTGCTGCAGTTGCCAAACCTCCCATCTACTATAGTGAGTTGATGACCTCTGTCAGTTTTGGTTCCCAATCCTATTCATCCTACTCACCATTTCTTCAGTTAAGCCACATGCTAGTTGCTTAGTATATACAGCTGTGTATTTCCAGCCTAGGAAGTGGCATTATATTAAGCACTACTTTAGTATAGCATTACTTTAGTATATATACTTTAGTATATTTAACACTACTTAGTGCTGATTGGTTGATTATATCCAAAGCCTGAATAAATCTAGTCAAAAGACTAAATAAATGATTTGTGCCAAAACCAGAATGCATAGCCATAATAAAGAAGATTGAACATATGATTTCACTCACATGTGGAATTTAAGAAACAAAATGATCATAGGGGAAAAGAGAGAGGCAAACCAAGAAACAGACTCTTAGCTGTAGAGAACAAAGTGATGGTTACGGGGCTGGGGGGTGGGAGGGCAGGATGAGTTAAATAGGTGATGGGGATTCAGGAGTGTACTTGTCTTGATGAGCACCGGGTGTTATGTGTGTTAAATCACCAAATTGTACACCTGAAACTATTATTACACTGTACATTAACTGGAATTTAAACTAAAAAAAAAAAAGAAGATTGGATACAACTATTGATCTATATAGACCTTCAGATTTGGCTGAAAATCTGCATTAACATCACCTTGCATTTCATTACTGGAAAACATACATTAATTATTTTATTTTCTGCTTTGCTAGTCATTGAATAATGGATTTTGTACTGCAGGCATACTTCAGAGATCTTATGGGTTCAGTTTCAGACCACTGCAATTTTAAAGTGAATATCACAATAAAGCAAGTCAAATGGATTTTTTGGTTTCCCAGTACCTATAAAAGTTATGTTTACACTATACTGTAGTTTATTAGGTGTGTAAAAGCATTGTCTAAAAAAAACAATGTGCATACCTTAATTTTAAAATACTTTATTGCTTAGGGGTGCCTGGGTTGCTCAGTTAAGCATCCGCCTTCGGCTCAGGTTATGATCCCAAGGTCCTGGGATGGAGCCCCAGGTCGGACTCTGTGCTCAGCAGGGAGTCTGCTTCTCCGTCTCCCTCTGCCCCTCCTCCTGCTCATGCTGTCTCTCAAATAAATAAATTTTAAAAAGATTTTTAAAATACTTTAATGCTTAAAAAATGGTAACCATCATCTGAGCTTTCAGTGAGTCATAATCACTGATCACAGATCACCATAACAAATAAAATAATGATGAAAATATTTGAAATATTGCACAAATTACCAAAATGTGACACAGAGACACAAAGTGAGCAATTGCTGTTGGCAAATGGCACCAGTAGACTTGCTTGATGCAGGGTTGCAACAGACCTTCAAGCTGTTTAAAAAAAAAAAAAAAAAAGGAATTATCTGCATGTGAAACACAACAAAACAAGGTATGCCTGATAGTAGAAAACAAAATCCATTGACAGATTGCAGCTGTGTGTTTTTGAGAACCCTTCGTGTTGGGTCCTGTTGATACTTGATGGTATAATCTTTGCTTTAGTATCTAAAGATTTAGTAAGATCTTTGACAGATGCATTCTAGTGAGCTTGATATTTAGACACAGATATCACTTATATCTAGAAAACAACGAAAAGCTTTGCTGTTGCACTGAACTTAAGCCTAAACATTCAGTAAAACCAAAGTACATCCAAAGATTTTTCAAAGCATGCCTAAGAGAGCTCTCTGCCTGAATAATGCATTCCTAACAAAACTAATTTTATATCCCTTGCAGATAGTCTCTCAACTTACTGTTTACACTACTACTTGAAGATGCCGTTTTTCCATTGATAAAGGTGCTATGATATGAGTGTTTTAGTTTCTTAACGTTGTCTGTTCTTTCAGGAGCTTTTCTTTTAGAGGTCTGAATGGTTAGAACATGCCATTCAGTTGAGTACTTTAATCCATAAGAGACTCGGTGTTTACTAAGCAGTATTTTGCCTTCTAAAATTAGCATACTAATCTTCCCTCAAAAAGTAACATGTTATCTTAATTAACTGTTTACAAATGAACTCTGTGTCTTCTGATATGACTTAAAACACATTAACAAGAAAGGAAAGCAAACTTGGATTAACTTTCCTTATGTTTCTATAGACCTGCTTGGCAAGCCTCTATAATTTGTGCTTGTTATATCCAAAACATTGCACTTCATTGTAGAAACAGAATCATATTGTTTTCCTGGCATAATTTTAGAAAACATGTCACATCATGCTTTCTGTTTTATTTAAAGAAACATACAAATTCCAGTCATGTTTTGGTTTTATATATTTTTCTTCTGCTGTGGTTGAAGTAAAACAACCTTACCCAAAAAAAGTAATAAAGTGATTGAAACCTTCTGTAGTATACACTAAGATAAATCTTTCCACATTAGAGATAGATCTTTCTATATTTTAAGGTATTACTCAAGTCCTATGAAATAGTTTTTTAATCATAAAAATGGATTTTAAATCACAAGTGATGGGTTTTAAATGATCCTGGATCTTCAGAGAAGGTAGTTAATGGTCATGTACACTGAAGTGTATCTGCTGACTACTAAATTTGCTGTTTCCAAGTATAGAGTTTATCTGAAATAATATCTTTTGAGGATATGTCTAAAGAGGTAGAAAGCATTTATTGGACACTTCATACAGGCATTCTTGCATTACTCTGTTTAGAGCAATTCTCAAACTTTTTGGTATCAGCACTCCTTTACACACTTAAAAAAAATTACTGAGGGCCTTAAAAGCTTGGGTTTATAGGAGTTATATTTATTGATATTTGCCATATTAGAAGTTAAAACTAAGAAAGTGTTAAAATATCTGTTCATTTTTCAAAAACAATAGACCTGGTATTTGTTAACATCATATAAGCTTTGGAAAATTCTACCGTACACTTGTAACAGAATGAGCATGGAAAAAGATAAGTAACCTCTCAGTATTAAATGATTTTGATTTCGTGGACCCCCTGAAAGTGTCTTGAAAACCCCCCGGGGTCCCCAGATCACACTTTAAGAACCACTGGTTTAGGGACTACCACTGCAATTGAAGAGAAGTGCCTTTACATCTTTAAGGACCATATAGTCTCTTTACAGAAATGCAAAAAAAGTATAGTTTTAGAATTGGTTAAAAGTCGTTCATAAACATTGTTAAAGAGTACAGGCATTGAGCTGTACTTTTCATCTCCGTGACTTATTTATTTTATGACTGGAAGTTCGTACGTCTTAAATCTCCACTATCTATTTCACCCTTTCCCCTACCCCCTCCCCTCTGGCAGCCACCCATTTGTTCTCTGTATTTAAGAGTCTGTTTTGTTCATTTGGTTTTAGATTCTGTGTATAAGTGAAATCATGTGGTATTTGTCTTTCTCTGTCTACCTAAGTTTTTCACATCTTTTTATATTTCCACACTAGCAGGACTTCTTGTAGCTGACAGGCTCTACTCTTCGAGCTTTGTATAGAAGTACGTTTTGAGGGGCGCCTGGGTGGCTGAGTCGTTAAGTTCTGCCTTCGGCTCAGGTCATGATCCCAGGGTCCTGGGAGGGAGCCCCGCATCGGGCTCCCTGCTTCTCCCTCTCCCACTCCCCCTGCTTGTGTTCCCTCTTTCGCTGTGTCTCTCTCTGTCAAATAAATAAATAAAATCTTTAAAAAATAATAATAATTTTGGACATTTGTCCTGAGTTCACTTAGGTTTCAAGAGATCCCTTCATTCTGGAATTGTAAGCTTTCAGTGTATAATTCTTTAATCATCTTATCACTAGCATTTATTATGCTAACTTTGTGTTAGAAGAGCCAGCCTGTTTTCACTGATGTTCTTTCGTTGTGTTATTTAAATTCAGTGACTAAAACCTTACAGATTATTCCCAGAGTTGATGCAGAATGGCTCTGTCATTGAGTACTGACTCAGTGAAATTCTGCATGAAATCCAGCACTTATAACAGTTGCCAGAGTACCTGTGCAGTAAATGTTTATTTGAATTAATAAAAAAAAAAGAGACTACAGGCATAGTTCGTTTAATAGTTACCTTAATAATAACTACAGTTGTTTGTTCATAATGGTAGTGTTTTGACCACT